CCATCAGTTTCCTCACGATTTACTAACAAACATATCAGACTGGATGTCACAGCACTTCCTAAAACTCAATCTATCCAAAACTGAGCTCATAATATTTCCTCCCCCACGTGCCTCTTCCCCTGATTTCTTAGTCAGAATCAATAACACCACTATCAACCCATCCCTGCATGCCAGGGTGCTAGGTGTAACCCTGGATTCTGAACTATCCTTTCTGGCCCAAATCCAATCCCTGTCCAAATCATGCTGCCTCAACCTCCGCAACATCTCCAGAATATGCCCCTTTTTAACCAATGATACCACAAAGTTCCTAATTCACTCCCTGGTTATTTCTTGCCTCGACTACTGCAACTCCCTCCTCATTGGTTTACCTTTACATAGGCTATCCCCCCTCCAGTCCATCATGAATACTGCTGCCAGGCTCATCCACCTTACCAACCATTTAGTGTTTGCTACCCCTCTCTGCCAATCCCTCCACTGGTTTCCACTTGCCCAGTGCATAAAATTCAAAAAATACTAACAACAACTTACAAAGCCATCCACAACTCTGCCCCCAGCTACATCACCAACCTGGTCTCAAAATATCAACCAAACAGCTCTCTTCAATCCTCCCAAGACCTTCTGCTCTCTAGTTCCCTTGTCACCTCCTCCCATACTCACCTCCAGGACATCACCCAAGCTTCTCCATTCCTATGGAACTCCCTACCCCAATCTGTCTGGCTATCTCCTAATCTATCCACCTTTAGACAATCCCTGAAAACCTTTCTCTTTAAAGAAGCCTATCCTGCTTCTACCTAGTAAAGCGCCATTTATTTCCTCCATCAGCTCATCCCCCATAGCTATTACCTTTTGTATCACTCAACCCTTCCTCCTAGATTGTAAGCTCTAATGAGCAGGGCCCTCTGATTCCTCTTGTACCAAATTGTATTGTAACTGTAATGTCTACCTTCATTTTGTAAAGCACTGCGCAAACTGTTGGCGCTATATAAATCCTGTATAATAATAATAATAAGGGGACTTCCTTTTCAGAAAGATTTCTTTACTGTCATAAAAGGCAGTATAAAAAAATTAATAGTTTACACATAAAGACGTACCTCTGCACCATCTGTGACATCCAGGAGCATTACCTTGGGATCAAGGCTAAGGGCTAAACCATATATACTATTTATCTCTGCTACCACTGCTTCCCAAACGAGATGGATCTTAGGATAGGTCCAGACCATATGGAAAAATGTACCCTCAGCCAACTGGCATCTACCACACAGAGGGTCAACCATAGAATATTAGGTGGCCAGGTGCTTTGCACTATAACATGCCCTATGAAGAGATTTTAATTGTATAAATCTATCCCTGGCAGGAACCATATGCATAATATAGTGGCATGTACATGCATCCCAGGCATCTTCCACAAGGTCATTCCTGCCATTTCTGGGAGAGTCTGTCAGCTTAGTGGAGTGTGCAAAGGAGAGTTGAAGGTAGACGACAAAGGTTTGCCCATCACACTTGAAGTGAAGGGTCAGATTCAAAAGTAATAGGGACTAGAAACTGTGTTAACAACTCATGACGCAATTATAAATATATAAATAGCATCCAATTAGGGAGGTCCTATTTAGTCTTATGCTCAGCAAAGCTAATCATTTTCCCGCTTATCCTTAGATACTAAACTCTTAAACTCAAATCAGCAGAGTATTCCAGACCATGGATGTGACATACTGTATGTCCCAGTTGACCCTAATCCCAGAGAATGTACCAAATTCATCAACAAGGTGCTGTGCAGCTTGTAGGGTGGAGGATAGATCATCAAGGAACAAGAGGGTATTGTCTAGAGATAATTTGTCCTCATTCAGGGCGACTCTGATACCCCATACCATGTCTGCAGCTTGAATTCAGGCAGCAAGGGGCTCTAAATCAAGAGCAAATAACTTGGGGGATAGGTGACCGCTATGTCTCATGCCTCTTTGAAGGGAAATGGGGAAGTGATCTTGTTATTGGTACAAACCCTAGCTACCAGGTCAGAGTACAGGAGACGGAGCCAAGAGATAAATCAGGGTCCAAAGCTTACTTACTTACTGAGGACAGTCCAGAGGTAGTGGCATTGTACAGAAACATAAACTTTTTCAGCATCCAAAGAAACCACCACCCCTGTACTGCCTGCACCAGCAAGACCCATGTATGTGAATAATCTTTGGATATTGATGTCCATCCCTTTATTCAGTATAAACCCGGACAGGTCAGTGTTGACCAAGGCTGAAATAGCTCAATTTAGGTGGTCAGACAAACCTTTAGTTAATTTTTTGGCATTGATATTTAACAATGATATTGGTCTATATGAAGAACACAGGTCATGGTCCCTACAGGGGTTAAGGATCACCACCACTACACTGGAAGTTGGAAGAAAACCATTGCTTAATGAGTGCCGTAGCATTAAATCAAGGTAACAAACCAAGTTAACAAATCTTCCAAATGCATATATGTCGGCTTTAAAACCGTCACCCTATTCTCTGTGTTTCTAGGTCAGCACTCAAGTTCTTTATTGATTGATAAATGACCATAGTAAAGGACTTAAAAGCATCCCAGGTAACATCAGGAGGTGCAAAGCCAGCATTATGAATCCAGTATTCATCCAATTCATCCAATTTTTGTTGGTAAGGTGCATTGCCCTAGAGTCAGAGACCGAAAGTCTGGAAAGTTTCCACAAACCATCAGAGGGGATCAAGCACAAAGATGCAATAAAAGTGGGGCGTGGTCTAAGATGCCTCATGGTAGGATAGAAATATCCCAAACCGTGGGAAAGATAGGAGCCCCAGTTAACATAAAATCAATGCAGGAAAAAATTTTGTGAGTGGCTGAGTGCTACCAGTTTTCGGATACAGAAAGCATTATTCTTTTAGAGAAAATAGCACAACCCAATAAACTTTTTGTGAAATAAAAAATAGTACAATATAAAATTATATAGAATATGAACATGAGGATTGGGGAGAATAACAGAAAAATCAGGTAGAGGAATGACCAATGCTGTGATGAATAATTCACTTTTTAATGGATCAGTGGGATTTTTTTGGTGCCAAACAAGATAAACAAGTTTACATAAAACTCATATTTTTATTATCAAATTATATAAAGCATAACCAAAAATTAACATAATATTTCCTCTACTCCATTGCATAACACAACACTGATACTAAACCCAGGAGCCTGCATTCACTATATCTGGTCTCCAACAGTACATACAACACGGAAATGCAATTATTTTAGTAAATATAGACTGCTAAATACCTTTTCTCATCAGTAGTTAGAGCAGTCTGGTGACTTCAGCAGGGCACTGGTTAACCACTTCCAGTCCGGACACTTTTACTCCCTTCCTGTCCAGGCCAATCTTCAGCTTTCAGTGCTATCACACTTTGAATGACAATTGCGCGGTCATGCAACACTGTACCCATATGCATTTTTTAGCTGTTTTTTTTAGACAGATAAAGCTTTATTTTGGTGGTATTTATTCACCACTGGGATTTTTTTTTTCTTTTGCTATATAAATGAAAAAAAAAGTGTTTTCTTATAAAATTTTACAAATAAATAATATTTCATCATAAATCTTGGCCAAAAATGTATTCCGTTATATTTTTAGTAAAAAAACTAATAACCCAAATTAGTTTATAACCAAAAATTATAATTTTTTTAAAGAAATGTTTTACATTTTAATTATATTTTTTACACTGATTGCTTTTACACCTATAAAGGCTGTAAAAGCAATCATTTGTCCTTCTCTCTGGCTGCATTCTTGCAGCCATTGAGAACTACTGTGTGAGCTGTGATTGGTCACAGCTTGTCACATGGTACAAAGCTGTTGTGAATAGCCTTGTACCATGTGACCTCTGTGATCATTCACAGATTTCACACGTAGTAAGCAATGATGTCAGAAGTGACATCTTGCTTACTACTCTGCATGTGATCATTGATTGGCCAATCAGTGATCACATGATCGGGACCTCGCACAGAGGTCCCGTTGGACGATCGTTGTTTCACTGTGTCCGGAGGACACAGCGGGCACCGGATCGCAGTGCTGCACGCTCCCAGTGAGCGCGCACACTCCATAATGGCGGGTGCCATTTATGAATGGCAACCGCCCCTGGACTGCCACCATCCTGCCGTTTATATACAGCGGCCCGACGGCAAGTGCTTAAAGTTTGTAGGAGGAGTTTCCTTTCTGCTCTAGGAGGATGAGAATCCCCTGACCCTCTGTCTGGACAATGCTGATTGGCCGTGTGCTGATCACATGCACTCTCCCAAGAAAAAAAAAACTTCTCTAGCCAGGGGAGGACTGACATCTCATAGGGCCCCCGGGCAATAGGGGATCATGGGGCCCCTGTGTCCTTGCCCACACCCAAAAAAGCCTATGAAAAAGCCAATGAAAGGTACCAGGGGCATCTCATGGGGCCCACTACTGACCCCGGGCCCTCAGGCAGTGCCAGAGTGCTCGAATGGTCAGTCCGCCCCTGTCTCTAGCAATACACACCAAACTGAGCATGTGCATATGACTACAGATTCAGTCTGTATCAGGTGGTCATTTCAACAAGAGGAGGGGCAGAGAAAACAGGATCAAATGTCCTTTTTACACAATGCAGAGGATTAACCCCTTAGGTTCCACAGTGAGTATCACAAACATGCTTTACTGCATATACAGACTGATTATACTGTTGTGGGTTTAGTAACATTCTAACCGCCTCCTGCCTGCCATATAGTAAAATGATGGACGCAAGGCGGTTCTCTCATTCTGGGAGGACGTTGTATGACGTCCTCCCATTCTAAACTGCGCATGCGCGGCTCCGGGAGAGGCAGTGCAGCGATCGGCGGTGCGCTGTGTCCCTCGGACACAGCAGATCACCGATCAACGGAAAGAGCCGAAGATGTCGGCTCAGTCATGTAATCAGCTGTGTCCAATCACAGTTGATCGCATGTAAATAGGGAAATGACGGTTATCAGTGCCTGTCAGTGCTGCCTATCAGTACCACCTAACAGTGCCAGCCAGTGCCACCTAACAGTGCCAGTCAGTGTCACCTATCAGTGCCAGTCAATGCCGCCTATCAGTGCCGCCTATCAGTGCCATATATGAGTGCTGCCTTTCAGTGCCCATCAGTGATGCCTGTCAATGCCCATCAGTGCCACCTACCAGTGCCTCCTCATCAGTGCCCATCAGTCCCACCTATCAGTGTCCATCAGTGCAGCCTATCAGTGCCCATCACTGCAGACTCATTAGAGCACATCAGTGAAAGAGAAAAATCACTTATTTAAAAAATTTTATAACAAAAACTAAGAAAAAAAATTTTTTTTTCAAAGTTTTCAGTGGTTTTTGGTTTCTTTAAGAAAAAATAAAAAACCCAGAGGTGATTAAATACCACCAAAATAAAGCTCTATCTGTCACAAAAAATGATAAAAATTTAATATGGGTACATATGGGTTTGGGTGTTGCATGACCGCGTAATTATCATCCAAAGTGCAACAGCGCTGAAAGCTGGAAATTGGACTGGGCAGGAAGGGAGTACAAGTGCCCTGTAGGCTAGTGGTTAAGCATGTTTTTAGACTCCAAGGGGCTATGTTATGACAGTGACTATTATAAATGTATATAAGGAACATTGAAACTTAAAGTAAGAGGATAGCTTGAAGTGAAGAATGAAGGTTGCTAAATATAGGGTTTTATTTTATTGAGTACATTTATGTCATATGATGTGAGTTTTTTTAATGGCTACCTTTTTTATAATGCAATATTAAAAAATACAAGTTTTTTTAAAGTTTGCATTATCTTTGCATTGCCTGATTAAAAAGTATGCTGTGTCTTCTGAAACTATAAGAGATGTCTCGTGCCAGTGATTATCCATCAATCTGTTGCACATAATAATTTGCAGTGTAGTGTTGAATGACTGCAGATGGTAAATCTGACAATAGGAAGTTAAAGTGCAAGAAGTCAAGTGCAGAAAAAAGTTATGGGTGATTTTTTTTTTTTGGAGCTGCTCTGCTAGTTATATCAGGAAACTGTCAAACCACAAAAAGGATAAAGATTACGAGAATGACAGAAGGTGAGAGAAGAAACATTGGAATGTTTTGTACAAACGTTATCTTCATTATCAATGTCCTGGGGGTCATGGGGAAAAGCTAGGGGAGGATTTCTAACTAATTAAATTATAAAGCCAAACATTGTTTTTGTAGATTCACACTAATCAGTTGTTCATTTGTATCATAGATTTACTTTACTGTTCCTGCAGATCTAGGCTCATCAAATGTGTTGTGGTGTGGGTGCTATAAGGATCCAGTTATCTGTGAATAGACAGTGTCACATACACCAGCTATGTGTTATCACAGTTTTACAAGCTATGTACTAAACAACTAGCAGTGTGCCAATTTTAATAAACAGTAACAGCCCTTCTCTTGAGATTTATTCTTGTAAAACTGTTTATAGTAACAAATGTCAGCATTAACAGATACACATAGCTTTTTATGTAAATACTCATAAAACATTTGTATTTTCAGATCAAGCAGATATTGGGTATTTAGTCTTAAAATTACATGGACAAAACTGTAAACTATCTTAACTGTTGGATATGTTGGATACTGTTTTTTGTTTTTTTTAGTTTCTCCCAAGTTTGGAAGTAAACTGCAGATGTACCTTTACACAGACAAAAATGCTAAATGAAAGAGGCTATTCACTGATGTAGTTAATTCACCGACTGTGGACACATATCAACTAGCAGTTTTTGATAAACAATAAAACATATTTTCTGAAATGTGTTCCTGTAAACTGTTTATACCATCAGATGTTAACATTTTCAAATGTTCAAATATTTTAAGAAAAATAGCATATTTTACTATATTCAATTTCTGATCACACACTGTTGCACAATCCAAAAGATACCAGAGTTAATATTCAATAGCCCGACCATACATAGGCACAAAATGCTTGCAACTGATACTGGCACAGAGCTCTCGGGATGGAAAATTACAAGGTGCATTCAAGTTCTCTGTTGTTTAAAAAAGAGGTAAGCACGATGTTTGTATCGGATTAGTAATGAATCATTCAATGGTCTTAAGAATGGGCTTTTTTCCTATTTTTTTTTCATTTCATGATCCTTTCATTGACACACATCCCTTCCTAGGCTGAAAGTACACACTCACCATACTGTATCCATGAGGGTACATGGTCATCCTAGGCTGCGCCTCTCATTTGGACAACAGAGACCTTTCCTTCTTCTCTTCTCTTACCAAGGAAACTGATAACAGTCAGTGCAGTAGAGCTCAGAAGAAGTTATCAGCTCACACAATTTATGGAAGGATCAACTGGTATTTTTTTGCATTTACTGAGCAGATAGTAAAAAAAAAACACTTTCATTGGTAGTAGACTAAAAGGAACCAAATCAGAGAAGTTCATTCTTAGGGTTATAATATACCTTGAGTACAGGGCGGACTGACAAGTCATGGGGCCCCCGGGCAATAGAGGATCATGGGGCCCCTGTGTCCTTGCCCAAACTCGAAAAAGCCTATGAAAAAGGTACCAGGGGCATCTCATGGGGCCCCCTACTGACCCCGGGCCCTCGTTTCCAAATGGTCAGTCCACCCCTGCTTGAGTATTATGTTCAAGGATGGCTCCAGCTCTACTTGCCTCCATACTGTCTGCCTGACACTATGGCTGTGAAACAAGGACAGGTTGTAGAACCTCAGCTTTTACAGGCCCTGTTAACCTTCAGCACATCAGAACACAATTTGTCATGGACAAATCTTCTGTGTCACTTGTCATTTAGTATCTCATTGCAGCCATGTTCCTTGTTTTTTTTTCCACCAGTTATGAGCTTTCAGAGAATCAGGCTGACCATCCTCAGGTTTGCTGAAGATATATTTTTACTTAATAGGTAATACATTCATTGTTATTTTGTATCTGTCTGGAGTAGCAACTCATTGGAGAAATCCTTCAATAATCCTTGATGTTTCAGGAAACCTAAAATATATTGATGATTCCAATATAGTATTTCCAAATAACAGATATAAAAAGACACTTTCATTGGTAGTAGACTAAAAGAGACCAAATAAGAGAAGTTCATTCTTAGGGTTATAATATACCTTGAGTATCATGTTTAAGGCTCGTTCTAGCTCTACTTGCCTCCATACTGTCAGCCTGACACTATGGAAAGAATTTTTTTTAGAACCTCAGCTTTTACAGGCCTAGTTAACCTTCAGCACATCAGAAAACATTTTGTCATGGACAAATCTTTTGCATCACTGGTCATTCAGCATCTCATTGTGGTCATGTTCCTTTGGTTTTTTCCATCAGTTATTAGCTCTCAGAGGATCAGGCAGACCGTCCTCAGGTTTGCTGAGGATATTTTTTTATTTAATACGTAATGCATTCATTGTTATTTTGTATCTGTCTGGAGTAGCAACTCATTGGAGAAATCCTTCAATAATCCTTGATGTTGCAGAAAAACTAAAATGTGTCGATGATTCCAATACAGTCTTTCCAAACAACAGTCAAAAATGTATGCAGAAGAGCTTTGAAATTGATATATTTAAACTAATAAATTACTATGGAGCTGTGGCTTGCTGAGTTGCTGACCCCACCCGCTAGGCAGCACTGTACAACAATATTAAGTTATGTTTCCATGTAACTTTTTATTTTATTTTAGTTACTTTTTCTGCTCTGAACATACAGTAAACATATTGGTCCCCTTATCAGGCTCGCCTGTTCCCAGCATGTTCCTATAGAAAAGCAAAGTTGCCTATCATAGCCATGGGCCAGCAGGAACATTAAAGGCACAAGCTAAAAGCTGAGTGAACTTCTGACAGTGTTAAGAATTCTGTAGATCAAAATGTGATTGTTACAGTTTACTGGGAATTAAGGACATGGGATGCCAGAGTATGAACAGGCACTGCTAGTTGCCTGAATTGCAGTGGAATAGCCTATTCCGTATCTTTAGTATACTGACAGGCATACTAATGTATAAAAACAACTCAAATATAGTAAATATTAAAAATAGAAACTGTTACAGTGTCTGTAAAAATGTCATTTTTTTATTACTGAAATGTTACTACTCTATAATTTTTAAGGATTCACTAATAACTAAACTCAGTGAGAGATTGTTCATTGCACCATAAATCAGAACCTATTAATATTGGGAATGGTGTCACCCAGATATTATGTCCAGTTGCACACACTGCACTTCCAAATCACGCCAACTGCCAGCTTTGTATTTTGCTTAGCATTCCCTATACTCATTGCATGCTCTTTTTCCTGCTCTGTTTTTGGCACTAGCTTTACTTTTTTTTTTCTCATGTTTCCTTTTTCTTATTTGACATTCTCCCTACTCTTTTCCCTGCTGTACTTTTATCCTTTCTATTACTTATACCCATCCCAGCTACTCTGGTTCACTTGATATCCTTGCAATAGCTCAGCTATCACAGAGCACTTTACAATAAAACTTGCTCTAAACAGTGGGGCTGACAAACACGCAGAAGACAAATCACTGTTGTATGTGCATGCAAGGAAAAAAACTTAGAATAACATATTCAATGCATTTTTAATGCACCATATTAACCCGATGACACACACACGTCATTTAAGTTAGTAAAACTGGTAAACATATATGGCCTATGTATGGCCATCTTAAAGCATAGCTATATTTAAAAGAGTGGCAAAAATGTTTTTGTCATCCCATGTAGGATGGGTAATGAGCCTTATTAACCTTTTTTTTTAATATGTATGGTAATTACCTTTAACTACATTGCACTACAAATTATATCTGCCCCTCTTCCTGCTATATGGGGTAGCTGAGGTCTCCAACTAGATGAATATTAGAATTTTCATTCCAATACCAGCCCCCATGATGTTCCTATTGATGATTCCCCTGACCTCCAAACCCTTAAACATTTACATCTGTCCAGGATTAGAATCTAAAAACCATTGCAGTCGCTAAACCTTGACCTGTGTGAAGTAACGGCTATAATTCAAATATCGGTAATCAATTAGAGCTTCTAGAGCTAGCCATACATGGTTAGTTTTTGTTTAGCTACAAATGAGGTGGATGGAGGAATTTCCCCAGAACATTATATTCTGACAGAGGCACCCA